AATGAAAGGACTGCGCTCACTCTGGTAGGTCATTGGCCTGTGGAAATGCACGCAGGATAGCCTTCAAAGCAAGGAAGAGCATCGACATAACCATATCCACATCACTTGTTTTCGGTGCACGTTGCTGTTGTGCCTTTGGCTTTGCCGAGGTGAAAGGTGTAGACGCTTGGTTATCCTGAGTGTCTGACGGTTCCGGTATGTTCATGCATAGGGTTCATCAATACCAGGGCAGCAAACCAGATACTTGCTTTCCTGTTAACCCCCCTGCCTTTCTTCATACCAAGTTTGTCTTTGATTCTGTAGTGCCTGCGTCACTGCTGATGTCTCGACTGAGCCGAACGCCTTTTCGTAGTCAATGAAGGCTGTGTATTAGGGTTGGTTGTGTTCCGCGCATATTTCTATCACGTGATTGATAGTATGAATATGGACTATTGGGGAGTAACCTGTACAAAATCCTGCTTGGTCCTTTGGTTGATCGAACTCTAAAGTCGCCTTAATTTTATTAGCTAGTATTTTCGTGAATGATGTGTAGAGAACGGGCAGTAAGCTGATCAGCCTGTAATTCTGCTAGTCCTTGATGTCTTCTTTCGTAGGAATTAGGATGATGTTGGCGTTTTTCCAAGATTCTGGTACCTTTCCCGTCAAGAGACATTTCGTATTAAGCTGGACACTTTTTTTAATACAACTTCTTCGTCATCTTTCGTTAGGTTCGTTGTTACCTACTCTCACCAGCGGCTTTGCCTCTTTGCATTCCTTCTAAATCTTTTCTTACTTCCCCTGTCGTTACTGATAGTATGTCGGATTCCTCTGGCCTGCTGTTGCTTCTTACGATATCATCCTGCTTGTTTCGGCTTCAATACAGCTCTCTGTAAAACGCCTTCATCAACTCAGCTATCCTATTCATATTGGTTATGACATTGCCTTTCTTGTTTGTAATGCATACATCTGATTTTTTTTTTTGCTTATGAACAAGTTTGCCATCGCAGCTTTTAGGCTTTTGCCAGTTTTTACAGCCTGCTCGATTCTCTCTGGTATATACTTTCTGATGTCGGCTACCATACGCCTATTGACTAACTTCAAAAGCTCCACTAGCTCAATTTCGGCGGTTGAATTTGAGGCTTTCATTGTTTGTAGTCTTTCAATGGATTTTTTTTCTGAGATAGTTTGCATGTGTCCTGTCTAGTAACGGTACCTCAGACTTTCATTGTAGATTCTTTGATGATACTAGTAAAATTATCATTTGTTGTGTCAACGCTAACGTCGGTTAAGTCATTTAGAGCCGCGAATCTATTCTGAAGCAAAACCCTGAATTACTCTACTTTCCCTCCCACCGCTAGCTCATCAAATGGCTTCTTCCGTACCAGTTCGTGCATTTGCTTTTTAAATCTACGTGAATATCAACTCTTACTATTCTATGGCTCTTACTATTCTATCAACTCTTACTATTCTACATAAAATGTAGAAATAATTCTACATTCTATACAATGCCTGGTTGTGTAGACAGAATGAAGTATATTTATGTTTTAGCTTCAACATTAAAACTTCGCCAAGTCCACTTAGGAGTAGGCCGTTTTTTGAAGAAGGTATTGAAGATCTGTAAATTCTTACGTTCCGTGAACTCTACTAATAACTCCCCTTTAACATTTCCAGAAGCAATGCCATATTCCCCCACTTAATGATATCCGGCCTGTTGCTCGCCTACTTTGGTATTAAAGTCGCCCGTCACAATAATGTATCGTGTCTTCCTTAATTGCTGACTCTACGTCTTTGTAGAAGCGTGGAACTAAATGGTCACCACGGCTCAATGTAGGTGCGTAGGCCTGTACCAGCCCCATCTTGCACCTTTTTGTTTAACATAATTACGATACTTTCAACTCTCTTACTGATGAAATATTATTCTTATGTGTTGCCAGCGATAGTTTTCTCTGTGAGAAACCACGCCCCTAGTTCTTTTCTGTTTAATAATTCACGGTAGCTTTGGACGTGTCCGTTCTTCAGCACTGTATATATATATATATATATATATATATATATATATATATATATATATATATATAATATATATATATATATATATAAGCCTCACGTGTCTTCTTAACTTCGTTGAGCCCTATTACATTCCATTTAACACCCCATAATTTCTAGAATAGCACAGCTAGGCTAGCCTCACTAAATAGCGTTCTAGCGTTGAACTATAGCCTAGTTCAGATTCCAGTGGCAGCCTGTCCAGACCCAGAGATTTTTAGCACCCTCCGCTAAGTCACAGGTTTGATCGCCGCATTGAACAGTTGCTTCGCAGCCGCTGGAGAATGGGGCCAAGGGTTAATTGCTGTATTAATGTGAAGTAGAGGCCAAGTACTGCGCCAGGGTGGCCAATCCTGCTCTGACTTGGGAGTGAAATACCGGAAGGTGGTCGCCTGGGAAGCCGCACCGCAGACCTTTTCTTTTCTTTTATTTTTTTTATTTTCTAGCGATTCTTTACTTACGTGTTTTAAGTAAATATACTATTGGGAATGGTCCAAAATTTATATTCGAATCAAATTTTGTCATTGCATGCTAGGCTGCTGCGCTCTCTCTATTTAGGGGGTTCTGCTGCACTTTGTTAGCACTGTCAAATACCACCTGGCCGCCTATCACTTTATAACTTCACATGACCTGGCCTTTTATTACCTGTTTAAAACTTCATATTTGCATATAAAAACAAAAAACTGGTGCGGCTTTGAACTTGTGATTCAGAATAAACGCATCCTCTTTCGGATGCGTTTATTCTGCCGTAACTTCTTTCTGCCTTGCTTGAAGTTAGTATTGTTGGCTTCCGAATGTCCACACTGTAAGAGTTTTGATGATTTCGACGGATAGCACACCTACTTTGGCGTTTTCTGTCAACTGAGAAGTTGCACGCTCTGCTTTTGTGAGTTAAACGGTTACTTCTATGTGATTGTTACGTTGAGTGTACACGTCGCGGGTGATTTCAGAGCTTGGAAAGTAAACGCAAAGAGTTCCTAAATGCTAAAAGAATAGAATGGCGCTGCTTTTAGGGCTGTATCATGTTTCATTGCCGTTTCAGAGTGGTAATTAAATCTCCCGTAAATATATATAATAGTAGAAAATGTCCTCAGTCACGAGTCAAATATACGTACTAGTAATTGCATATACGGCTAGCCTAATAACGTGATCATTACAACCGAACGCATTAGTGCATATATTGATGTATAAGTATATACGGTTACCCACGATAAGCACTTGCACATCTCTGCGAGTGGCGAAACGAGTATTTTGAAGAGCAGGACGGTTCAAGTCACCGTTCACATGCTAACGGCCCAACCAAAACTTGTCACTTTCTCTCGCTAGCGTTCTTGTTTGAGCATTGAAGAGTGTCATCAAAAACGTCGCATGATGACGTATGTAGGGACACGTGCTGAGTTACTACTGCGTAATGCGAAACTGTTCTTCACTGAACGCGGTGTAACAGCTCCGCCTTGGCAGTCGGACCATCTTATCGGTCAGCGCAGCACGCGTTCGCGTGAGGCTGTGCAGAGTGATTCACATTACTCGCGTAAGTGTATGTAACTCGAAAGTTGCGTGCCAGCGCATCTTATCGTTACCGCAAGGTTCTCCCAGACTACCAAATGCTGTATCCACACGTGCTACAAGTAAAAGAAGGGCCCACTCCAGAAGCTCGGTTTCATTGCTCTAAAGGGAACGCTCTTTCGCTCGCGGTTGTTGGCCTATTTTAACCAAACCTGAATTTGAAGTCGTGACGACATTAGCTGGCGAGATTCGCCAGTAGGAGGAGCTTAATGATGTATTGCAATATTCGATGAAGGAGAAAAATTGCTTATAATTATTTGTGGACTCTAGAAAATTATCTTCACAATGACTGTTTTCTCGAACATTCACTAGACTGAAGTTTTCTGAACAGCGTTCATTATATTGTACGTATAAACATTACTCACGCCTTAGGAAGTATAGTTGCGGTTGATTCATAAAAATTTCAGGCTGCCACATAAGGCTCGCGCTGTTTCAGGAAAACCAACGTATGTATCGATAAAAACATATATGCCAATCTTGATGATGGTTATATAGCCATGGTATTTTTACACTGAGCAAATAACCGATTTTCTAAGCAGCACCTGATAGTTTATGCTATTTATTGGAAAAGAACTTGCACGGTGAGGCCTTACTACATATTTGGGAACCCTTGCGCATGATTTAACTATACCTTCTAAAAAACAAGGGCGCCAAAACATTACGCATTTCTTCGTAACTGAATTAGATATCTTTATCGAGTGGGAATAAAGAGACACGAGATAGAAAGATGATGTTCACGTATCAATAAGGTACAATTTCACAATGCCGAAAACGCTACTCTTGCCGCGACACAATGCTTGGTAAGCCAAGAAAGGCACAAAAGAATATAAGGGTGTAAACGCCACCTTTAGTTTCCCCCCAGAACATCGTGACGTCATAGATTTTTAAGGTGGCGCTTGGGTCTTAAGCAGCGTCTAAGCCCTGGAGATTAGGTAAATTGTCTAGCATATGAATTTAAGATAATTTCATTATGACGCTGTCCTCGAAAATACAAAAAATACGCTGTGAAAAATTTTTGACGTCGTGCGCGGAGATTCCAGCGCGAAAATTAAAATGAAATTTCATCCTTGATTTTCTCAGCTAATAGGTAACTTATGTGTGAAAAATATTGAATTAGTGGTCTCAGAGTCTAATTCATCTATCTAAACCAAGTCGCTGTTTCTTTTGGGGGTTCTGTTAAACCAAAATCGTACGTTAAACGAAACAGTGAAAATAAGTTTAGGCATGAAAAAGAATTTTGTTTTTATACTTGCAACTTATATCTGCAGAGAAACAAGTAAGAAGCTCGCGATTAGTTTAATGATAATAACAATGAAAATGACACAGTCGCCTTTGGTGGAACTTGCAGCCTTCGTGCCGCATCGAAAATATGCTTTATGATCTTGAATCAGGGTCGCATAAAAACTTACAGAACGGTTGTGTTCTCTGGAACCCTGGGAACGTGGTCCAAATTGAGGAACATGCATCGAACGGTCGTTCCGACACAGAGGCATCCTTGCGGACATGGAGCAGCCGACGCAGCAGTGAAGATGCGCAGTAGGCACGCTACACACACAAATTGCAATAGCGACCATGCCGGATGCATCTTGCCGTGCATGTGTCGGCTGCGTTTGCTCTTTGGGTGCAGCGTCGCTGTGGCATATTAGGCTGGCTTAGTGAGGGAACACTACAGTCGTCATGGAAGAGCGAACGGGTCCGGGAGTTTTGACGCCGTGATACGCGACGCTCTTTGCAGCACCATCTGTCTCTGAGAAGTGGAAGCGTTTACGAAACGGCTTGTCTGAGTTGTGTTCAGTTCAGTGCCTTTGACTGGGGGTTGACTAGAATATATACAGGTACAGAAGATGTACTAATGGTGAAGTACTGAGGACAGATCCTGAAAGCAGGTGTCCATATGCTTGGACGATCGCAAACACCAGGCTTGTTTGAAAACATACACGGAATGTATCTCTGGATGTCACTAACGTCCGAATATCACCCAGATTATTGTTTTCACGCGGCCCTAGCAAGAATTTGATTTTCGATCGCGGCCCCCGAACATCGTCAGCGATGGAATTTCGAAATCAGAAAGCTGCTAGCTTAAAGCTGTCCAAGTAATTATGAGGCTTAATTGGTGCGGAGAGGGAGAAACAACGTAATTTTATTTGTTCAACCTTGAAAACTTTATTGTTGAATGAAACCTCCGATACAGGGCGCCAAGTCAGAGTGTTCGTGGACGTTGTTACCTAGAAAGTACTGCTACAAGAGAGAAAAGTTTAACCACATCATAGCATGCGAAATCTGATATGAAAGAGCGCATTTGCCTAAACTTGAAGTTATACAGAGTTTATAGTGTCAGCGATTAAACTTATTTTCCAAAAACCAATAGGTTCCTTTATGCTTTCTCCCAAGATTGCCCGACGAAGAAGACATCCATCCTATTTGTCTTCTAAGTAAATGTAATGAGCATGTCGATGTATTGATGCTGTCAAATGCCTCGGATAGATGATAGATAGATAGATAGATAGATAGATAGTAGATAGCTGTAGATAGATAGATAGATAGATAGATAGTATAGATAGATAGATAGATAGATAGATAGATAGATAGATAGATAGATAGATAGATAGATAGATAGATAGATAGTAGATAGATAGATAGATAGATAGATAGATAGATAGATAGATAGATAGATAGATAGATAGATAGATAGATAGATAGATAGATAGATAGATAGATAGATAGATAGATAGATAGATGATAGATAGATAGATCGATAGATAGATATAGATAGATAGATAAGATAGATGCAATAGATAGATAGATAGATAGATGGATGGATGGATGGATGGATGATGGATGGATGGATGGATGGCTGGATGGATGGATGGATGGATGGATTAGAGGAATTAGATGATGGATGGATGGATGGCATGGCATGGATGGATGGATGGATGGCGGATTGGTATGGATGGCGATGGATGGATGGATTAGATGGATGGATAGGCTGGATGGAGTGGATGGATGGATGGATGGATGGATGCGATGACTAGATTAGATAGGGATGGATGGATGGATAGATTAGATAGATGGATGGATGGATGAATAGATTAGATAGATGGATGGATGGAGGAATAGATTAGATAGATGGATGGATGGATGAATAGATAGATAGATACTATGAGAGAGACTTTGCTTCGCTAAAAGTACTCTTCTCGCCGAGCAGTACGCTGGAGAAACGAATAGGGACGATCTTGCTTCTCTTCAGCAAATGACACCGACAGATCGCACTAGGAACAGCCGTCTGCGCTCTGTGGTTCCTCCTCAGTAAAGCAAGAAGACGGCCCGCCCGTGCAAGTTTCTTCACTAGGCTTTTCACATGGACGGGTGCGGCTGCCAGAGCAGAGACGTCGCTCTTATCGGCCGCGAGGTCGGGTTACCGCAGCTGTCGACCGCTATATGGGGGACACCCTCGTGCTGTTATACCCGAAAGGCTTGCTGTAACAGCGGTTGCCTTTCGCAGACACGATCCGAAGGAAATAAAATACCTTCCGGTGATGCCTGCATCAGCAGTGGTGATCACTTATGCAAGCAAGCTGAACAAACAAAAAAGTAAGCAATAAACGCAAGGGCACTCACGTAACTTGTTCGAGAGTCCCTTACCGCAAAACCTTGGCTCTCTCTGCAGAATGCACTTTGGGAAAGACTGGTACAGTTCATTTCGTGCCAAGACTATATTTATGGTTTCTTGCTAATGCTAGTTAATCCTCGTGTCTGGGTAACTTTCTCTACTGACACTCAAATGGTCACGGCTCTATCACACACCGAAGTCAAGCCTGCTCATCGCACTGATTGCCGTAAAAACCACCAAAGGGCTCTTTATTGTCCCGTAGTTCTCTGCAGCATTTCGCTTATCAAAATAACAGCGATGGCTTGGAATATTTTTAGGGTGTGACAATACTTTCGGGGGTGAAATCTGCCTGTACCTTTTATGAAACGCGCACTCGCATGGTGATTCGCCATGACAGCGCTGCTTCCACCCCTGGCGGCTGCGGGGTATCCTACCGTAAATAATTCGTAAATAAAACATTTCCTCCATGACGTCACTGATGAGGTCAGCAAATAGAAGGAAAGGACGCGAACCATTGGGAGGAGAGTTGCCACGAAAGCATTCCTTTCCCACTTCGCATGCAAGCGGAATCTGTTCTTGCTCTCTTGCACGTCCTCTGGCCGCTCGGGCAACGCGGCCAGCCGTTAAATTTAGTTACCCATTTTGAAATGTTGTCTGCGTGTTGTGCATGTTAGCAAACAAAACATGATCGATTTCTCAATAACACAAGGCTAATAATAAAACAATAAAACAAGTTTATCTTTCTTTTAATCACACGCGGCGCACTAAAAGCGAAGACATACACGTAATTTCAAGAGTCATTAGCTTTATTTCACAACTGAAGTACGGACATAGTGAACAAACTATCATTCAAGAATATCCAAATTCACAGAAAAGTGGTCAACATTCACAAGCAGGTGGCGTCGTACTTGACTGAATCACATTTATCATGACAGCTAAAATATTTTTCTTCAGATATTGAGATACTGAGCAAGACAGCAGTTAAAGAGAAAATAGCGGCGTGAAGCGATGAGGAATCTTTTAACAGAGAATGCCACTGGAGAATGTGTTTCGGATAGGTGATTTCTTTTCATCAAGGCATTGCCTTGAGCAAGAAATGTCGCTTGTCAGAACGATGGCGCCAGTGACATTCCTTGATCAACTATTTCTCAAAGCATCAGTAAATCCAATGAATGTATTTCATTGACAGTATCAGAAGCAAAAACCCATCAAGCTTCTAACTCGCTATATACATTTCCTTGAACAGGAAGAAGGCTACGATTGCTTCACATCGCTTGAAGTACAGGCCAAAAGTAAAGGATGAACAAACTCTGTAGCCAAGTAAACGTGAACTTAAGCCTTTCTTGAAACATTCTATGAGCACCTGACATGCTCTCGTTATCAATAGTCTAGCCACACTTCGCTCATGCTAGTCCGGTCAGGCTTGTAGACAGCTGAATTTGCTCACACACATATGTCAATAGAACACCTGCTCAAATAATTGATATGTGGGGTTTAACGTCCCAAAACCACTATATGATTATGAGAGACGCCGTAGTGGAGGGCTCTGGAAATTTTGACCACCTGGGGTTCTTTAACGTGCACCCAAATCTGAGCACACGGGCCTACACCATTTCCGCCTCCATCGGAAATGCAGCCGCCGCAGCCGGGATTCGAACCCGCGACCTGCGGGTCAGCAGCCGAGTACCTTAGCCACTAGACCACCGCGGCGGGGCCACCTGCTCAAATAACAGACCCGAATGCTTGTGCTCTCATGTAGTCACTAGGAAACCTCGAAGACTGTCGCCGAACTGAAAATGTCTGGGTTAACACACTGCTGAGTCGCGCCAAACATGTGATGCCCCGAGTGAGCTTTTTTCGCTTATTGCTTGGTTGACCTAATTCACGAGGCCTGCTGGGGCTTCAGTTCATGTCACGCCATATCTTTGCCGCGTTCGTACTTGGCACGCTAACCGAGTGAGACAACCGAATGCGATACAGCATGCGATATCGCTGAGCAAGTGGAAGGGGTAGCGGAGGCAGAAATGTTCCCGCGCTTCGCCCGATTCAAGATTCCCGAAACAAAGCATAAAAAAGACAAATAACGAGTGGATGAGTTCTTTAGAGTTCCATAAAAATGCTTTATTTGTAAAATAGGTATAAGACAATAAATTCCAACATCTACGTTGACTTCACTACGCTAAGAAGATTTTAGGATGCCAGCAGCCGCTATGAACACACATGTTACCTATAACAAAAACTAGCGCTGAGCTTCCAAAGCCTGATATTGGTCTCGTCGAAGCCGCAAGGCAATTCGGGCCCATGCCTTTCAAGCAATTCATTCGAACAGCTATGAACTATTAGCACGCGCATCTCTCACGAGATAACCCACACTTGGCATTTGATGTATTCTTAAGTCGGAAACCCACAATATCCCTTATGAATTCGTCTCTGAGGGCTAAAAGGTAAAAGCACCTTCTTTTTTTTTTCTTCTATGCCGATGTACTGAACCTACCGCGCACCACTTCAAAAGGTTTCTCCAACTAAAGTGGTTTCTGAGCAACTGCAGGATTGGAAGCATTGTAAGCCAATTTTTCACCAAGTAACGTTGTCGTGTGATGAAGTCACCATGTGATTTAACGATATGCAATGTCGCAATAAGGACGTTTTGACATCAGATATGCTGACAATATATGACGTCATATGTTGAACCCCTTCCCGCGGTGGTTTTTTTCATCACTCGTGTTGATGCCACCCACGAAGGACGCTAGTCATTTTCTCGGAGGAAGAGGAAGAAAGTTTAAGTGGAAAGACAGGGAGGTTAACCAGTTCTTAGACTGCCTGGCTACCCTGTGCTGGAGAAAGAGGTGAGAGGAATAAAAGATGTTAAAAAAGATGTTGCGAAGAGAGAGAAAGAAATCACAAAAAAACTGCGACAGAGGAAAGGCATCATCAAAGAGTATAAGACACTAAAGTCTGTCTCTGAGGCCAGTTGTCCGCAAAAAGCGCAGCAAAGCATTCAAAGCCTTCTAGGCTGAGGATGGGCTCGGCC